TTATTATTACTCTAAAGCAATTGTGATAAATGTGTAAACGATTAGGAAAACTGCATTTCCTGTGTTGAGTGTATGATTAACCGAATAGTAATCAGTTTAGGGCCAATCAATAATATACTGTAAATTTGATCGAATGACAAATTACAGAGTTTTGTTTGTTTGTTAGACTAGTTTGTGTTAGTGTTTAGTTAATAAAACTCTTGTGCACAAATTACATGAGTTTCTGATTCTGCCTTGCAAATTAATTGTCCCTTTACGATTTTGATCCTTACTACATGCTCTAATGCATTAATACTGTATGAAAGTATTTTCTGTGGTCACGAAAATATCCTTTCCTAGAGTTGATATGAACTTACACTGAATATTCGCCGGACGAACAGATTGGTTGATGGCAATTTAATTCTGCTATAGTTACTACTGGCAGCTGATATAAATAATTGTAATTAATCATACTTAACTGTAATTATTTATATACATTTCTCTTTTGAGCTAATTTGCTACAGTAGATTGTTCCAGAGTTTGGGCACTAAATAGGAAAAGGATCTGCCGCCCGCAGTTGATTTTGATATTCTAGGTATTATCAAAATGCCAGAGTTTTGAGAATGCAGTGGACGTGGAGGACTATAATGCAATATGAGCTCGCTCAAGAACTGATGAGCTAACCCATTCAGGGCTTTATAAGTAATAAGCAAGATTTTAAAATGTATTCACTGTTCAATAGGGAGCCAGTGCAGAGTTGACAGAACCGGGCTAATATTGTTATACTTCCTGGTTCTAGTAAGAACTCTAGCTGCTGCATTTTGGACCAGCTGGAGTTTTAAGCGTGCAGAACAACCACCCAATAAAACATTACAATAATCTAACCTCGAGGTCATGAACTCATGAATTAACATTTCTGCATTTGACATTGAGAGAAATGTGGCTTTCAAAGGAAAGATTGCTATCAAATAGCACACCTAGGTTCCTAACTGATGATGAGGAATTATCAGAGCAGCCATCAAGTGTTAGACAGTGTTTTATGTTATTACATGCAGAGGTTTTTGGTCCAATAATTAACACCTCTATTTTTTCAGAATTAAAAAAATCCAGCCTGACCTGCAGCAGCTTGCATACAGAGCAAACAGGTCTATGGAGGACACATCACCACAGCCCTTCACACTGCACTCGACCACCTCAAACTCCAGGGAACCGATGTAAGAACGCTCTTCATAGATTACAGCTCAGTGTTCAGTACGATTCTAGCAAATTAACTGAACTCTGTCTCTCTCCTTCCATCTGCACCTGGATAAAGCACTTCCTCAATAAGCGCTGTCAGATTTGGCCCCCAGCTCTTCTCCAGCATCACTCTCAGCACTGGCGCTCCACAAGGCTATGTATTGAGCCCTCTACTCGTTCTACCAACACCATAGTCAAATCTGCAGACGATACTACAGTGATTGGACTTATCTCAGGAGAGGATGAATCAGCCTACAGAGATGAAGCCCAGAAACTAGAGGTGTGCTGCTCTGATAACAACACCTCCAAAACAAAATAGCTAATTCTGGACTTCAGGAGACGCAGCGTTGAGCCCCACTCTACATCAACTGGACTGAGTGGAAAGGGTCCACACCTTCAAACTCCTGGGAGTCACATATCCGACGAGCTCTCTTGGTCTGTTACACCTCAGCAACAATCAAAACAGCACAGCAATGGCTGCACTTCCTCAGAGTGCTCAGGAATAACAGCTTGGAGTGTGAGCTGCTGGTGTCCTTTTACAGCTCCACCATCGAAAGTGTGCTAGTGTACTGCATCTCGCTGTGGGAGTCCAGTTGCACTGCAGCAGACAAGAGAGGAGAATCAACACAGCCCAGAAAATCACTGGCTGCTCACTGCCCTCCGTGGAAATCATCGCTCGCTCCCACTGTCTCTCAAGGGCCAAGAACATCCTCAAAGACACGTCACACCCAGCACAGCACCCGTTCAATCTGCTGCACCGCTACAGATCCTTAAGAACAAGGAGTGCTTGCTTACAGGACAGTTTCTTCCCGTTACTGTCAGGACTTTAATGCACTAATGTACTGAGGCAAAAGTCAATGTTAAAATACTATTTCCAGTCACATTATTCAACTACAGTCTCTTAATTCATCTCTTTTTCTGTCTATACTGCTGTTTTTATGCAATATGCAGAATGTCAATGTGCAATATGATCACCTGGTCACTTTATTTATCAGGACTTTAACAAATGCACTAAATGTGGCGTGTCAATGTGCAAGACTGTATCTGGTCACTAATCACAACTGCCACTTATTCCATTTCAGTTTCTTACTGTTTCATATCAATGTAGAGGTCAATGTGCAGTCAATTCTCACTTTACTCAGAATGCTCAGTGTGCAATATTAGGACTCAGTCACTTGTTGTATATACTTTTAAAATTGTACTGTACAGTCTATAATCTTATTAAGTCTGTGGTTACATGTTAATTTATCCTAATTTCATTGTATGCAGAAAATACAATGACAATAAAGGCTTTCAATTCAATTCAATTCAAAAGCTTTATTGAGAAATGTAAAACAAAGTCAAAAAAGCAAACATAACACTTCAGAGCTTTCAGATATTAAAGCTAAAGTTATAAAATTACTTTTTCCTTATGCGAATACAATCAGCAGACGATAAAAGTTGTTGATAAAATATAAAAGGTAAAGATAATGTATTAATAAAAAGGTAACATTTAATCAATAATTACTGAAAGTGGAAACTAATAAGATGGATCTTTGTCTCCTACTGACTTACAAGTAGGGATGGGTATCATTAAGGTTTTAACAGTATTTATATTCTTGCGACACTGCACATCAGTCTGGTTCTTTAATGTTATTCTTTCTCTTTTTTTATGAAAAAAGGGCCCATTTAATACCGGGTTCAGGTACCATCCCTACTCACAAGAGAAGCACAGAAGGATCAGTTTCAAAGCTACATTACAGTATTTCTTGCATCTGCGTTTTCTAAATACATAATAAATGGAAAAATAACTAGTAAATTTAAAAACAACAGTGAAGAACAAGTTAAAAATAAATCTCAGTCTCTCTTAAAAGTGTTACAGCCTCTTCTTCAGCTTCCTGAACAAGAACGGTTTGTAAAAACCTTCTACTTTCCTTTATGAAAGAGTAAGCAAACTACAGGTGATACATATGCATTATAAGACAATTGAACATAATATGAAACTCATAAGAAAACACAATTATATAATCTATAACATTAAGCAAAATGATACACAAGAATAAAACTTTGTTCTTTGGGGAGGAACTCCATCTTTGAGTTGAGCTGAATCTCACAGTTGAATCTGCTGGTTTTGAAGATGAAGATGAACTTTATTCACTGTGAAACTTTAGATAATGTTTATTTGTCATGTCGCTTGTAATGACTGGTTAGGACAGATTTATCCAGATTATATTTTATTGTTTAATGCATTATTGTGTCTCATTTGATGAGGACGCAGCATTAGACCTGAAAGTGCTGATCTGAAGATGATCTACTTACTGTGATTGCTTTTTGTATGTCTGTGTAGAGAAGATGAACGACTGAAACACTTTCCACATGCAGTGCAGTGATACGGTTTTTCTCCAGTGTGGATCCTCTCGTGTCTTTTCAGATTTCCTGACCGACTGAATCTCTTGTCACAGTGTGAACACTTGTACGGTTTCTCTCCAGTGTGGATCCTCTCGTGTCTTTTCAGGATTCCTGATTCACTGAATCTCTTGTCACATTGTGAACACATATAAGGTTTCTCTCCAGTGTGAATCCTCTCATGCAGTTTTAAACAGTTTGCTGAAGTAAAAGTCTTTTCACACTCAAAGCACATGTACTCTCTCACACCAGTGTGTGTTTTCTGATGTACTTTCAAACTTTGTAGACATGAAAAACTCTTTCCACACAAATAACATGAATGCGGCTTCTCCTTTGTATGAACTCTCAGGTGTTTCATCAGGTATGATGCCCTCAAAAATGTTTTGCCACATTGATCACATGTGTACAGCTTCTCTCTAGTGTGAATGTTCATGTGATTCTTAAGGCTTGCTGAATGTGTGAAAAACTTTCCACATTGATCACAAGTGAACGGTTTCTCTCCAGTATGAACTCTCATGTGAACATCAAGACTATATTTGCTTGTCAAACTCTTTCCACACTGAGTGCAGGTGAGAGATTTCTTGGCTCTTCTTTCTTTTAATTTTTTCTGTTTGGTTTGAGAGCGACTCAAAGATTTTTCTCTGGTTTTGACATGATTTTTCTCCTCAACTTCTCTCAATTCTTCACTCTCCTCATTTCCTTCAATCAACTCTGAAATAAAAGTAAAAACTGTTCATTTTCAGGAACTCATAAAAAAAAACCCTGAGAAATATTAAAGAACATAAAAGTGAACCCTGTTATAACAATTGCTATACAAAATGTTGATCGTTATGATGCATTTTCACAAATTATACATCCCTGAATCTTTCCATGAATGAGGTACATTGAACTTCCAATTATTCTTTTTTTTAAATTATAGGCACAAATCCCATGTTTATAGGGATAACTATTAAATATGTTTGATCAACTACACAATTATCTAACATACCTTTTTGGGGGTGAAAGTACCCAGTTTGTAGAAAGTGTCCCTTATTATTTGATGCTTCAGCAAGATTATTCAACAGCTCTAAAGATTTATCCTATTACAACAAAAATCATCATTAATGAAGAATCAAGAGTAAACACCAACTTGTTTGTTCTTCAGAATCTTCAGTGTGTTTCATTCTGCAGGGTTTGTGGGAGGAGCTTCACAGATTATGTGATTATTTGTGGGAGGAGCTTCACTGATGACAGGATAGTTGTAGGATGAGCTTCACTGTTGGCAGGATAATTGAGGGAGGAGCTTCACTGATGACAGGATTGTTGTGGGAGGAGCTTCACTGAACATGAATTCTGTGTGGAAGAAGCAGATTTGCCAAAATCAACAAAAAATCAGTTTTTGAATTTTTAAAACTAATTTAAACATGTAAGCATTTATGTACGTGAAGTAGAAGAGACAAGAGCCTTACAAATACATAGTGTTGTCTCTTTGTAAATCATTATATTACTATATTAAAAGAAACAGCGTAGACACAAAGAGCACATCAGTTTAACCCCTTTGCTGTCACCTCCCATTTTCGGTATGGAGACATAAATGACATACCCAAAATATAAAGGTTGCTGCTCATCAGTCTTTCTGACTAGATCAGGGGTGGCGAACGTCGGTCCTGGAGAGCCGCAGCCCTGCAGAGTTTTGCTTCAACCCTAATCAAACATACCTGAACAAGCTAATCAAGGTCTGAAGGGTTATTAGGAAGCTACAGGCAGGTGAGTTTTAATTAGGGTTGGAGCTGAACTCTGCAGGGCTGCGGCTCTCCAGGACTGGAGTTCGCCACCCCTGGACTAGAAACATAATCAACATATGTTCACAAAGCTGACACTTCAAAGTTTACCGTTCAAGAATCGGAATTACTCAGAATCGAAACCGGAGCTCGCTCCAGTGTCTGCTCCAGCACCTGAGCTTGGCCCAGTGAGGGCTGCAGTCACCGAGTTTAGCCCAGTGAGGGCTCCAGTTCCCGAGTTTAGCCCACGGATGGCTCCTGTTCCTGATGGATATTAATTTCTATTCCAAAGATGACATATACAGATTTATTATTTTGCACTCCGGACATAAATTAATAAATTACTGTCACTGCAACAATGTTTTATCAAAACAGTGGTCAAATATCAAAGCTAGAGTCTTTAATCTTTCTAATGATGCACAGTTGTCCAGATCAAGTAAGAGTGTGATGTTTTAATGTGCTGTGGAAGTGAAACAATAATAATCTGGGGCCGTCGCCGATCTTTGACAGTTAAGGGGTTAAAATGCTCATTCAGTAACACTGCACTCACATATGTGCTAATTCACACAATCTACACTGTAACCAATTTTTGTAGTTTGAACAGTATTTTACCGTAATATGTACAGTAAGATACTGTAAAATATGTATACAGTATTTTACTGTAAACAGCAAAGGATTATGGGAAAATATATGGTCACTACTGTATTTCCTCACTACTGTAAATCTACAGTAGTGAACTTGGCCGCGAAAAACTGACCAATGGCAAGGGAGATTTCTTTTTTGACTGTTTGGT